TCATGGTCGATTTCTCTCACGTAGCTATATATTTTGGGTTTTTCTATATTGGCTTTGGTAATGTCAAAACGGTTTATCTCTGATTTTAATTAGATTAGAGGAAAAATATCACTTCACGACAAAAGAAAAAAGAAGATTAAAATGTAGAATTTTCAAGAAGGTTATAAATTGAAAATATGACAATAGGACCACTTGGTGAAAACTACGTTAGTCTAGTAAATAGCGACTTGCATTATGATTTAACCTTTGGAGCCTTGTTTATGATGATTATAGTCATAGAGACAACTTATAATTTGATTTTTTTTCACATTTGTAAACAATAGATGCGGTAATCTTTAGCGAACAAGGCAAATGTACGAGTGATACTGTGGAGCTTCGTTAGGAATATATATATGGATTTAAAGACAAATGATTCTCCTATATGTTTTATAAAATATTTGGTAGGAGAGACAAATTTAAAAGAGAAGAAAACTAATTTTAAGAGCGAGTGTCGGCAAGTTTGGACCCTACCACGAAAGACAAGATAATACACATGTCATTTGTGAAATATTGTAGTCGCGTGGCAATATTTGATTAGTTAATTCGTTAAATGTTTCCCGCCAAACAAAGCCACGTATGTTATTGTCATAAAATGAATCTTAATGACTTGGAGATACCACTTGTGCGAGGGCACGTAACAGATATCACTTCCGATTAAAATTCGTCTTTTTCTGTGAAGATTGGTAGTGATTTATCAATTAGTTCTATCTGATAATGCTATGTCTTTTCATTATACTTATGATGAAGTATTTATCAACATTATTTAAATGCTTGAATACCCATTTAATCATTTATATAAGTTGTTTTGATATACGTGTTACATGTTCCGGCGAAGGGAGAATTTAAATCACAACCACTCAAAGTTTATCACGACTAGTGTTTATGTGGTTTGATTTGCTCAGTCTAATTACAATGGTTACGTTGTGAAACTCAAAGTGTTATATAGTAAATTTGGGTTTCCATACTGTTGATCAGTGAGAGCGTTTCTGCAAATTTGAAGTGCCCATAGTGTCCAAAATGTTTATTTTCCCGATTTTAGACGTTTTTCATTCCGCTGTACCCAAAATACTTTTATATCCAAATATTAAGAAAATACTTTTAGAGTAATGGTAACAACATTCAAAACAATTCTCAAAAATCATTATCACCAAACAATATCCTGACAACATGAATATGGACTATTGAGTCTTCAACCAGATCCAACCCCAAAGTATTTTTTTCAATGGCCCAATACTTTTTTGTGGTCAATTTTTTATTATCTCTTACAAGCTCAAGCTCGAATGAAAAGGCTGGGCAATCCTTTTGAGACTAGCATTTTCAGAAGTTTCAGAGCATTCTGATTCAAAAGTGACTTCAAAATGGTCAATTGGTGGAAATTCAGTGTAACCACCTTATTTTCATTTCAATAGCGATTTTTGTATCATTTTCTCCTCTTCTTTAAGCTCCATGTATTGATTATAATTTATAAGTAGTGTTATAGTGCTTTTTTTTGGGTATTTGACGAGTGATTAAATTTTTAGACAAAGAAGGTAAGTTAATGAGCATGTGGTTGCCCACTAAGCTCTCCTTGTTTCCTTAATTTGAAGTGTTTTGACTCATTTTTAAAAACTTTTTTCCATTGTGTGATCCCCTAATTTTCAAATAGTGGCGTATTCTCGTCCAATCAAAATTGGTTTGACCCGGAGGACCAAGTCCAATCCGTTTTGTCATGGACTCGTGGGATTGGTATAGAGTTTTTAGCTTATTACAAACAATGAATTAGCCATTCGGCTGAGGACTACGGATTT